AAACACATTGAATCTAGAGTCCAGACTCTTGAAAACATTGACAAGAAAAAATACTCTTGATTCAATCAGATTTAAGCTCAAGTCAAAAGGAAATCCGCTCAAATTAAGAGGCTTGGTTCTTGATTTAAGCTGAAATCTGCACTGAAAAAAAATCTTGGTGTATTTATTAAGAAAAGGGTAAAATTACCAAGAATTCAGGGTTCTATTTGATCCCAGTTTTTTCTTGGTAAAATTACCATTTATGGAATTGGTAATTTTACCGAGAAATCTCGGTAAAATTATTGAACTTTCTCGGTAATTTTACTGGACCTTGGTAAAACACCAATATTTCTTATCGACTGTGGTAGAATTACCGAGATAACACGGCAAAGTTACCGGGAGTTGATTACCAATAAAAGTGGTATTCTTACCTGAAAAAACAGTAAAAATACCGGTTTTTAGGTAAGCTTATTACTCTGTCTTGGTAAAATTACCAATAATTGGTAAAAAAAGTGAGATGGTAAAGGTACCAACGGACCTTGGTAAAAACGCCGAGAATTGTTTTTCAGTGTGATTGAATCGAGAGTATTTTTTCTTGTCGATGTTTTTAAGAGTCTGGACTCTAGATCCAATGTGTTTTTTTTTCCAGTGTTATAGATTAGAAAAAAAGAGGAAAAAAATCAAGACGTGTACAAACGCTTAGTCTCCTCGCCCAATATTAGTTGAGATATCGCCCTTCGAGAGAGAGGGTACGTATGACGTCATCCACCGAGACAGTGCACACCAGCGGCCCGATTATTGAAACTATGTCAGCCCGACACGACTAGCCATAGCCCTATTCTTAACCATGCAATATATCGCAATTCGATGTCTTACCGGAGGGCTTTAAACTTTCAATAATCGGCCCGCAGGGGATCTTCCACCTTGGATTCATTAATCTCATATACACACATTTACATTGGTTGCTCTACTGATTGGTAAGCTGGAACCAATCAGAGCCCCGGAAATCTGACCTCGTTCAATCTATAAGCTCAGTTTAGTCGTGTGACCCAGGCTTTGAAGTTTCCACATAATAGACTCATTCAGTAACTACGTTAATGGTACAATTGTAAACAAAAACGTAACCTGAATCTTTTTTTCTATTTTTTTATTTTTGCAGTTTATTCGGCTTCTATTCCAGTTTGAGAATTTACAGCCATCAGTAGACATCAGGGGGATTTTGGCACATCCATGCTCCGGCTTTCAAATTTTCAGGGATTAAGGCCGAGTAGGATCTGTTTCTGCAGATCTACTCGCTAGTTCCGTGAAAATTTGTCACCACCACCGGGATTCGAACCCGGGACTTATATTGGTCTGGAGTCAGACGCGCTGACCGCTAGGCCAACCTGGCCGGCAACCTGAATCTTAAGTACTTCAACCCTCCACTGGAAAAAAAACACATTGGATCTAGAGCCCAGACTCTTAAAAACACCGACAAGAAAAAGTGCTCTTGATTCAATCAGAATCTAGCTTAAATCAAGAACCAAGCCTCTTAATTTAAGCGGATTTCGTTTTGATTCAAGCAAAAATCCGATTGAATCAAGAGTATTTTTTCTTGCCAATGTTTTCAAGAGTCTGGACTCTAGATCCAATGTGTTTTTTTACCAGTTTCTGATTGGCTGTCGGCTGAAAAAGCGCGGCAAAACTTATCAAAATTCAAACGGGTCAATCAGATTTCGATTATTTTGTCGCAGTGTATCGAATGACGTAATCACTAAATCAGTCTAACAATAAGTCCGACCTCTCAACGAACTAGCTCCACTGTGTGACGTCATGCGTGCGAGGGAGACGACGAGCTGGTGACACCGGGCGATTCAAGCTTAGGGGGTTTTGTTTTATGTTCAGTCGGTGCTGCCGATGAATGTGGAGCCATTTCGGCCCTTTCGGGCGCGCTTTTATTCGCGCTGAGCCCCTCGCTCGGCCCCTGAGACCAGACCCTGAGCCCGGCCCCGGTTCCCTGTTCGCAGCTCAACCTGGGATGGCCGCACCGCACAAGGGATCGAGTTCATAGGGGAGGTCGGACAAAATTTGAAACATTTAAAAGCTCATAACTCCGTTCATACAAAACTTTAAAGTTTTAAAAGTGGTTCCATTGGTTTCCTCGTGAAATTTTCTTCCAGTGCCACCCCTTAAAATTTAAAATGTGACGAATTAAACATTGAAATTTGCAGTTTTGGTCAATAATGGTATGCCCGACCTCTCTGATTGACTTGCTCTACTGTGCGCCGAGTAGTGCGGTTCCAGCCCGTCTTCACCTCGCTCTCGCTACATCTAGCGATTCTAGGGACTCAATTTTTTAGCCGTCCCTCAAAAAATGCCGTATGAATATTCAAGTGTTGCCAAATTTCCCGCGATATAATATCGCCGATCCTCTGACCAGTGGCGTGGCGTGCTTTGCGATATATTGATTCATCTGTCATTTTAACCTATGCTGCCGTGCTAAGAAAGAGCGCCGTTGGAACATTCGGGAGTTGCCAAATTTTCCCGGATAAAGCATGTATTTTTGAAGAAAATTATGAGTATTTTTTCTTAAAATTTTCCGATATTTTAGATTAAATTGACAACAAAATTGTCGGAACAGTTGGAAGAAAAATAAGCAGAATTTGCCCACAAAATCCGTTGGTTATTAAAGAAATTATGGAAACGCCTGTTACGCCCTGTACGGTGTTTTTTCTTAGCACGGTAGTATGGGAAAGGATCGATCAACGAGGTGTTCGCAACGAACCTTAATAATCGATTCTTTTTCATGCCTCCAAATGGGGAAATATCGACAATCGATCATTCACGCCTCGCCACTACCTCTGACGTAAGGGCGTAGCTCTATTTCCATATTAACTCTGTAAAGTATAGAGTTAAACGGAAAAAGGAACCACGTGGAAACTGAGATTTTAAACAATATTTGACCGGATCTGTGAAATAGAACCTAGTCTTCCGAAAAATCCTTGATATTTTCAGATATTTTACATGAAAATGATGACTTGACGGAAAATTTTTCGAATTTTCCTTTGTCAATTTCCATTTTGTTCATGAGCAGTGCGTAAACGTATTTTTACCCTGTGAAATACATGAAAATAAACGCTGCAATTGCGAATTTCTCTATGAGCCATGCTACATCATGCGTAACGTGCGGTTGTAATAAACAGTGATTATTTACCTATTTAATTAAAAAAAAAAAAACACACACACACACTCTTTCAATGACTTAAAAACTCTGAAACACGCAATATGCAAAGTATTGTTGCTAATTGTTGCTATTTTACATTTTTCTTGTGTATCGAACCACTAATAAGACAGCGAAGTCTTGAATACTTAGTGAAGACTATTGGTGAAATAATGTTAAGTTTAAACTGAGGAATGTCTATAGTGTGGGTGTAATCTCGGACATGAATTCTCTTCGCATTTTTTTTAAAGTGCAAGCTGTAGAAAAGGTCGTGATAATGGAGCGATTATTTTAGATATAATTAACGTCTATTCTAGAGGATTCTATAAATTTTAGCGTTTGAGGTTAATGGTCAAACATTAAACACGATTAAAGCTGCAAGCAGTTAAAGCCACTAACAAGAAGCACTACCAACCAACACAAAAGCTTAGTACACTGATGTATAATTTAACCCTGAAAATCCAGTTGCTCCTTTGAACAGTCTTTAGTGAAAATGATGGACATGACAGAGTTGAGAAAGTGCTAATAAAATCGTATTTCCCTCATTTTTCTTTCACTTACACGAGATAAAAAAGGTATAGTTGCTACAACTAAGAGCTACTGAAAAAAGCTACAGCGCGTTAACTACCGTGGTAGCTGACAGAACCACCCAGTGGTCACAAAAAGTATCACGTTACTTCTCTGTGTGTGAAAACAACTGCCATGGTAGTTTTAGTAACCACCAGGTTGGTTGTGTCGTCTACCACGGTGGTTATCGTAACTACCACACGGTACCTTGCGCTTTTTTCAGCAAGCCCTGGTTGTGGCAACTACCTTTTTTCAATGTAAACTGAACTACCGCGAAACTTTAAATGATGGTTATTGAAAATATCGATCCGGAGAGTTTGGAGTGAAAAATCACGGTTTCGGAGTGCAGCGGATTTCCGCGACTTTTTAAGCGTTTGTCACCCTGCAGAGGTACATCTGACCCACTTTTTCCCCCGCTAATGAGACCGTGAATTTAAATCGGAAAAGGGGCCAAGCGCTACATTTTTGAGCTCAGCTCCACTGCACCTCATAATTTTTGAAAGCTGTTTGCACGAAAAGCGTCGAGGAACCGCCGTCACTGTCAAATTCGAAATTAAATTTCCTCGAGGCTCTCTCTGATCTAGCTTTAATATTCATGAAGATGAGATTCTCTAAGCCACGCGGCCGGGGTTAGTCTTTGATTCTATTATGCAAGAACGTATAGTAATTATTGGGCCGGTGCAAGACAGTGGCAAAATGTGACTCATCACCTATCGATGTGATCCCATTTAAAGCTGTGATAAATGATCGATTGTCAAGGAATACCATGATAATCGACCCTATTCCATAGATTTAAATGACAGATCAATCGACTCATCGCAAAGAGCGACACACCACTGATGCGAGAGAAACTCCGGCGCGGAATCCTCGCTCACAGTTCTGAGCTCAACTTCGGTGCAAAGTTGTCCTTTCAAGTGGCAATCTTGTTACAAAGCAAATTTTGGCAATAATCTCTCAATATACGGGAAACATGGATGAAAGATGAATTGAACGAGTTAAAAAAAATTTAGAGGATCGTCTGTGACCCTTATAGGAAAAGGAACCTTCGTCCACGAATGTTTAAATTTCAATGGAGCAATTTCTAGCAAAATGAATTTTAAAAATCTTTACCAAATTTCAATATCTTTAGCAGAGCCATACGAGGGTGATTACAGTGCCTTTTCAGTCGCCACTTCAGGCGTAAAAAGTGAAACACATTTTGTAATAGTTCTTTAAATTTTCCTCTAATTTTCGTCGTTACGCTCTCTATCCAAATAAAATTGAATTATAATCACTTCAAAAATATTTTATGTTTGATTTCATTCTTGTAAGTAGTTCTTTCTGATCAGCTCTATGAAATGTAAATTACATGAATTTTTATTCATCTTCAAGATAATCTGCGAGTTCCCAAGAAATATTTCTGGGAAGAAGAAATATCTGATAATAATCCAAGTTAAAATGGAAAGTAGGAAAAGGTATCTGGAAAAGGACGTAATATTTTTTAAACCATTGATTCCATTATGATCCCATATTGTGTGGATTTTCTTGAAAATGATTATAGCTGTATAGTTCTAGAAAATTGAATATGATGAGCATTTACAGATTTTATTATGGAAGCTAAGAAATATTAAAAATGAATGGTGCATTTTCGTCGTGAAGAAACTTTGCACTGAAGTTCCTCAGTTGTTTTGGTTGAATTATCTACATCTATTTTTAGGGTGTGAATGTAGAGGAAATGTGAACGTATTTATAATACAAAGATGTTAAACGGTTGCAGATTAGTAACTGCGATTTGTAGACCTGACCAACCTGTGATAGCGATTTTGCACGACCAGTTAGAAGTTCCCTCTAGAACGATACCTTCAGCTGTTTCTAGGGTATCGATGTGAGTGTCAGGGTCGACCGAGAACATAGTTCTGTCAGAAACAGCAACAACACATATTTCAACAAACGAGCACAAAAGACAGACTAGTGACTAAACACAGACAAAACAAAAAATTGGCAAAACAGGATAGAAAACAAAAGAAAAGAAAAACACAAAAAATAATAGTAAAACGAAAAGTATACGAATAAAAACTAAAATAAACGAAAGGAAATCATATCAAACAACACAAATCCTATGTTTTTAGAGAAATACTGGACTCAAAGATTGTACTGAATAGTAAACACGAATAAATGCAACTAAAAAGGAGAAAAGTACGGGTTTAAATTTAAATTACAAGCTAAATGTGTGGGCATTTTTTATTACATGATAGCTTACTAACTGTTAATGCGCCACACACTTACTTTTTTCCCCGGCGCGGGCCGTACGCTGGTTTAAAACGTTTTAGAAGCTGCCGCATTGGGCTACGCGCTAAGCGACCGCGATCTGCCTTCAAATGAGAGGATAGGCAAGAGCGGGTACTCAGGAGCTGTAATAGTTGTATGCGAATACAACTATTACCACTCCTAAGTACCCGCTCTTGCCTACCCTTTCAATTGAAGGCGGATCGCGGTCGCTGGAATTTACACGCTTCACACCAGTGCAATGCGGTGATCATGAATTCAAACGGACGGTTTTTTACAACAAAAATATCTCTATTTCCCGAATGTTTTAAGAATTGGTGAATTACTCTAAGCCGAATAGTTGGCTGATTGTAACCAAATTTTTGTTAAACTAAAAAAATGAAACCGTTTTTGCTTTAAATTAAAAAAAATACAAATAAAAAAAAATTAAAAAGAAAACAAATTAAGGAGGAAGCATGAATTAAAATCAATCAACAGTCAACAAGGCTGAACAGATGAGAGAAACGGAACAATCATGGCAAACTGTAGGAAAATAATTAACAATTGACACGTCTGAGGAAGAGCAGGTAATACATAAAGAGACAACAAAGATACACGGTAGTAAATAGCGATCGAATACGGTTTATGAGAGCGTTGATCAAAAGGCAGACGAACCGGCAGAGGCATGTTGAGCATTAGACAAACGGACATCGAACACAAACACAGGACGCTGAGCAGTAAACATTGAACAGTAAAGGAGAACAACAAACACTGAACACTGGCAGTATCAATTAGCTGAACAAAGTACAGGCTAGTCCTAGAATGAACACAGATTCGATTATTGCTCGATGATTGGGGGAGCACCGGAATGAGGTCTGCAAATTCGGGGCGATAAAGTGGTCAGAAGTGATGGAGTGATTAGGTTGGAGGGAGGGAAGAGGTGGGTAATATCTGACCGAACCTCGTGAAATTGGTCTTGATTGGATATCGTAACTACCCCGTGGGTTCTGATGGGAGTAGTTCCCTTCGAGAAGATATTTCGGCTGGGAAAAGGAAAAACACTCGGGGAAAATTTGAACGTTGCCAAATATCCGCCCATAAAAACAGATGTTTTGACAATTTTTAGAATTTTTTTGCTGATCTACAGGTTTGAACCATCAAAACACAAGTATGTAACTCAGCGCAACTGACCTATTCCTGATTTCAGAGCGGATTAAAATTATTACCTGACTCCGCAAGAACTTGTCACTGTGTTTACAGTAGTGAAAACTTTCATCGAAAGCGATATGGTGCACTTACAGCGGGTGCAAAATTTATTTACGGAGGACTCAGTTCATTTTGAGGGTGTCCGAGTTTCAAAGGCTATTAACATCTGTCGATTTTGATGTTGGGGCGGGGTGGACGAGGGACAGGGTTGAAAGGGACGGGGAGGAGGGACGAAGTGGTACAGGGATGGAGTGGTACTCGATACACATGTTAGTCGACGGAAGATGACGACGATGACAAACAACAAGACAAGAGCGACACGGAGAGTCTACGAAGATGACAAGGCGGGATGCGATGTAGGCGGTAGGCGGTAGGCGGAGGGGACAAGAACAAACCTGTGATGGCGATTTTGGCCGACCACTTGCTCGTGCCGTCGAGGACAGACTGCTTGACCGCCTTCATGTGCCCGATGTGACTCTTCTCCTCGGCGCCGAACACGGATCTGCGAGAATTTCAGCCAGTTCGTTCGTCAAATTGTTCGCAAAATTTTCATTTCAGCAATTTTTAAGATGTAGTGAAAGTATACTCTCAGAAGGTTGGGTTGGGTTCAGTTCGGTTCAGTTGGGATCCAATCGATCGTTTCAAAAAACGCCCCCCCCCCTCTCCAGAAATCCCAGAAAACTATAATAAACTGATTTCAGTCTAAAGTTGTCGATGGAAGGATTTGTAAAGGAATACTTATTAAATAATAATAATTGTTAAAAAAAACTCTTGAGACATTACCTGTTTTTTACTTTAAAAGGTTTAAAAGTGTTAATAAAACTCTTTGAGATTAGATTAGTCTAAATTACTTGACATTTTTTACTACACCCCCCCTCCCAGGGAAAACAGCAAAAAACGAAAATAAACTGACTTCAGTAAAAAATTGACGATGAGAGGATTTCATTATTAGTAAAAAAATAATTGTTAAAAAAACTATTGAAACATTTACCTTTTTGTAAATCAGGAGGGTCGGTAAAAATGTCAGTAATACTCCTGAAAATGGTCTGAATTACTCGGCATTTTTTACTGAAATTTTAACAGATGGTGTTTTCATGAGTGATTTACGAGGGATTTTCTACCATGTAGGTTAATTCTCCTCGGAAATACCGTAAATCTAACTCTCCAGGCTTACGAAGCGGTTGGTTTCTTCTTGCTCTCCTGCGATAACTTTAACATACCTACAGTCTCCTCTTACCGGGTTAATCATATTCAGGAAAGGAAAATTGAGTGAGATATTAAGCGAGTTGTGATTTTGAAGGAGAGAGGAGACCGCAAATCCTATTTATTCCTAGCGCATCTCTTGCATCCAGGTTTTCTTTTCTTTTTTAGACCTGCTGAAAGAGGACGTACCATGATTGCATTAGTGATGCACCGATTGAGAGTTGTTTGAGTTTTCGATTCCGGCGCTCGAAATAAGACGAGGAAAAGGGAAGGAATCGACGTAATTCGGAAAACTTGAACCTGCGTCCCAATGAGAGGGTGAGCGGCGTTCAGGGAACGCACTCACGGGAATAACGAGGCTCGGGGTGATTATTCAGTTACGCGGTCGTTTGAATAATTTTTGTAAACATTCGCCTCCCTCAAATGGCTTTAAAAGAAAATCGATACAAGAATTCGTGGAAACCGCCCTTTTGCTGTTCTAGAGAATCTGCCGAGAGCAGCGGCTCGGCTGAGATACCCGGAGAAGATTTTTTTTTAATATTGGAGATACGAAAAAGCTTCTCTCCTCCGACCTCCAGAATCAATTGGGAAAACTATAATAGGGGGTTGTTCATAAAATGCGTAACGTTCTTGGGAAAGAGAAGGGGGTGGTTTCGGAGAACGGTA